CATTGTGGGTGACGGAACACTCTTCAAAGGCATTATATACAGACCTGTTCCTCATCCCAATAACCCAGTAGCCACATTTGGGCTGATAATTTACATGCTGTCCATCATTAGGATCATATATAACTTCATGTTTAGTTTGATAATTCACATATTGTTTGTCCCCAAAATCTTGTTTGTATTTACAGTCAAAGGCACTTTCAAGCTGATAATTAAAAAATTGTTTATCACCAGGATAATATTCAACTTCATATTTAGGTTGATAATCTGCATATATATGTTTATCACCAAAGTCATATTTGTATTCATATCCAAAGTTATATTCAGGCTGATAATTTACATCTTGGTTAACATCAGAATTATATTTGTCTTTGAAGCCCTGTTGAGTCATTGAAGGAAGCTGGGGTTGAGCACATCTTCCATCATTTATTCCCAGGAGCCAGGCATCACATCCAGACACGTCTACTTCCCAGTAATGTTTCCCTGAGTGGATAGCTGGATACCCTAGGACACCTAAATCATAGGACTCAGAAACTTCCAAATTTCGTCTATAACCACTTCTATGTTGTATTTGTCTTTTGTCCATGTTAATGACAATGTTTTTATTGTTGCATTGAGGCAGGGTCACATGAACTGCAGAAAAATGAGACATATAAATTAAGAGTCACATGAGAAACAAGGTACTGCCTTATTTGTGATTTAAGTAGCAAATGTTTGAGAAGAAAGTGAGAGGGAATTTGGCAGAGCCATTTTAAAAGTCAAAGAGAGGCAGATTGTTCTGCATATTGGGAGCAGTAACATAAAACGTAAGTATTAGGAGAGAAATAAACTCTGAAAGACATTAAGATGAGAGAGACTGATGGTGTTATTACTCCTTACCCCAGTGGCGCTGGGCATCCAGAAGTCCTGAAATGATGAAAATGCACAGCATTAAATGCAAGCAAGGGAATCAGAACATTAAAGTCAATGTGATCTGCAGAGTGGGGGAAGGTCTGGAAACTGTGATGTAGGACGGGATGAATGATGATGTCCATTAAATATGATGCTATTACTGGGACACACTTTCTGCTCTTCTCAGATTCTGTACCCATGATCAGAGACATCACTCTCTATCCAGAGAGTGCAGCCCCAGCCACCCCTAGAGTCCCCCAGGTAACCACAGAACATAGCTGCTCTCACCTTGAAACACTTGCAGCATGCCTTTCAGATCTGGAGCTTGGAAGATCTTTCTCTGTTTAGTCGGGACCATTTTGGGCTGTTTCAGTCTTAAGTTCTGACTCCTAGAACCAAAAGATTGACTTCCACATCTCAGACAGTGTGACTTCTGACCACCACGGACTCCCTACCACCCCTATCATTCTAACCATAGAGGTCCTGGAGCTCTGATGAGAATCTGAGCAGGGAGAGGGTAGATACTAACCCTGCAGACGTGAGAGACACACTCATGACCCCTCCTGCTTAGTAGCATGTGATGTTGGGAAAGCCTTAGCTCCTCACTTGTACAGTTAAATAATTTGCTCCTGCACTACCCCCCAACCCAGAACTCTTAAAAAAAATGATGAATTAGTTACTTTAAAACAAACCAAACTAAGGTACCTAAAAGGTAATGTGTGGGCCAGACATGGTGCCACATGCCTTTAATCCTTGCACATAGGAAACAGATTCAGGAGGAACTCTGAGTTTGAGGCTAGCCTGGTCTACAGAGTGAGTTCCAGGACATTCAGGGTTACACAGAGTAATCCTTTCTCAAAATAAAAAAAAAAAAATGTTGGTTTTCAAGATATGCTGGAGATATGGTTTTCAAGATAGTCTGGAGCACAGAAGTTGCTCCTGGGGAAGCCAAGAATTCAAACCCTGTTATCAATATGGACCCTATTGGCCAGCATCTGATTCTCCTGATTATTCAAGTTCTTTTGGTACAAGGACAAAATTTGGCAAAGGCGATAGGAACACCAAATTAATAAGATGAGACCCACAAGTTCAGAATGACCTGATGTTGACATTCTCGTGTTACTTTACATACAAGAGTACTGCTTTTCAAGTTCTTCTAAATATGTGGGTCACATGGAGCAGGGGCTTTACCCTGGCCAAATATTGTACCCAGTGATTCAAGTCTGTTTCTGAAAAATCTAAGTTCAACCACAAAGGAACTCAGGATCTCTTCTATTTCCATGAGAAATACACAGATCCACATGATTTTTTTTCCCAGTATATAATTCTGTGAGCACTGCAGACAAGGAAGACATACCCTATCTAGGATGAAACTACTAATCAAGTACCGGTGAGCTGCAGACAGAGACAGACACAAGCACAGAGCACGGACAGAAAGATGGAAACACAAGGAGTCTGAAAGCTCCTGTGGCTCCATTTGCCTCTTCCCACTGCTGAGCCTAACTCTATGACTCCCCATTACCCAGACCCTTAAAAGAGAATCAACTCTGTCCCCAGTAGTTACAAAAACAGTCAGAGGCTGCCTTTCTCCACCTCCTCCTTCTTCTCATCGGAACTTCAGAATAACACTGTCTAAATTCCCCCAAACCCATGAGAGATTTATTCTAGTCAGATACTAAATCATTCTCACCACATAACAGGGCTATTCTTCCATGTCAGCCCACACATACCTTGTTAGGACACTATTCACACCCTAGAGAGAATGGAGAAAACACAGTCAATAACATGTTCTCCGTGTTCTTTCAAATCCTGGTCACACTCTCTCACTGGGTGCAGAGACAAAGTCAAAGGGAATCAAATCTTTCACCCACCATTCTCCATCACATGATGTAATTACGATGCACGATTCATTATTATTATACAGGTAAACATTATTATACATGTAAACTAAGAAACTATTTTCTGTCCCGTACTGCAAGGTTTTGAAGAACAAAGATGAATAATGAGTCGTTTGAAAGCTTACATAGGATTTGCCGTGCATAGAAACAAACACATAAACACGTGACTCTATCCATGCTTCATGTCAGCTCTTCATCACCTTACTTACAACTAACAATATGAGAAGCTGATTCCTAAATTATTTGAGTCACCTAGACACAATTCAATATGTTAGTAATGGAGAAGCCACAAGAACCAGATGCTTAGATTGTCTGAGAAGTAAAACTAACTAGCCACATCCCTCCTTCTCCGTTTCTTCGCTTTGTGAAACAGTCCTGGAAGGAAAAGACAGCAATCTTAATCTATGTGTCTCTCAATCTGACAAACTGCTGTAACAAAGACAACAAAGAAATGAGAATTTTTCCAGGAATCTCACACTGGGAGAAGAAAAAGAACTCCAGTCTGAGGGACAGCTGTACCCCTAACGAGACTTCGAGCAGTTCTAAGTACTTGTCAGACCACCATACAGTATGAGACTGTAACCCACATAATGACGGCAGACTGATGGACAGGACCACACCTTGACCTGGACTACTCAGATGTCCACATCCTTGGCTCTTTATTTAAACTTTGATCTCACTGAGGGAAACTGAAGACGGACAGAGTTGTTGTTGTTGTTGGTTTTTTTTTGTTAATCTGGTCCATCTCCCAAAAGGAGCCACATTAATAAATACTCTTTTCCTGCTTTCCAGTATTAATTTGGCTCTTTTATATGTCATTATTGAGGTCAGATATCAAGACCTTTTGAGGACCTGACTTTACAAACTCCATTTTAAAGAAAGGGCTTCATCTTAAGTCCTATAATGAGCTGGGGGGTGGGAGATGTCAGATCCAGAAATGTGCTGCCATAGCAGAAATTTGAACAGATGCCCTAAAAATGGCCAATCAAGAAGATAAGGGGCAGAGTCATAAAATTTAACAAGGTCCAGATGTTCTTGGGAGGTAGCCTGTCCTTGAAGACATCTTGTCAGTTATTAATGGCTCTTTGTTAGGTTTTCTCGACCAAAAACTGAACCATGGTTTCAGAAACAACCTTACCCTATTCCCTCCTATCTACTCCCAAGACTACAGGACATGCACTCCCCCAATTACAGTGTTGCCCCTTTAAAAGCTCTACCCTCCCAGAGCTCCCTGCCACTCTCTTTGCACCTACCATGCTCTGGGTGCTGGAAAGGTGTTGGTCCAAACTTAAGTTTGAATATTATTAAAAACCTCCTTGTAATTTGTATTGGAAACCCGGCTCTGAATTCATGTGGGAACCAGAAACTTGGGCATAAGAACCTGACCCACCAGGTCCACTTTAGTATGTTAAGGAGGCACCTCCGTCAGCCATTTGTTCTAGATTTGAGACCTAACAGTATCTAAGCATTTGCTGCATGCTTGGGTTCCACTGGATATTGGTATATTTACCAAAATTTACATACTTTGAGAAATGTGACCTGATTTATCCCAGCAGGTGACAATTGCCAGTAGCTCCTGGGTGTGGTTGAACTTCCTAAGAAAGACCACGTTCCACAGTGGAATTTGGTGTGGTTTAGGCCTGCACAGGACTTTGGCTTGGTATCACAACCAATTCCCTTTCATATGTGCCGCTGCTAAGCTGTGTCCAGACAATACTGTTTTTCTGGTAGACCTTCATCACCTCTGGCTCCTATCCCTCGTCTGCCCCTTCTTCTGAAATAATCCCTAGCTCTTTAAGTTAGAGGTAGAGCATATATATTCCATTTATAGCTGGACATTCTGTAGTCTCTTCCTCTCTCCACCTTGGCCAATTGTGGCTTTCACAATGTAACCCTGCTGGCATGGAACTCACTATATAGACTAGGCTGTCTTTGAAGGTTCTTAGCTTCATTTGTATTCCATCTACTGGGATTAAAGGAGTAAGTCAGCACACCTGGCTGTAGGTTAGGAAGCTTGTATTTTTTTTTCATTATTGTGTGCTTCTCATTTTTTTTTTTTGTATGTGAGAAGTTCTCAAGTCCTTGGAACATAGTCAGTAGATGCTTGGCTACACGTGGCTTTAGTTTATATAACATAAACCAACAAAGGTAGATCCCATAGTGAAAAGAATTCTGGGAGAGAACTAATGCTAATTATAGATAAATTCTGATGTTCAAACTTGTCCTCATAAAGGCATCTAGCGCTCATGTTCATTGAGTCATTAGTATCATAAACAAAACAGAGTCAACTGGAGAACTAATCAACAATTGAATAGATAAAAATGATATGATAAACATATATAAAATTATCAACCATTCAAAGCAAGTATTGCCATTTGTGGTAATGTGGTTGAACTCAGAAAATTTATGTTATACTAAATCTGCTGGGCACAGGAAAAACAACACTAAGTGATATTATTTCATATGTGTCACGTGCAAAACTTGGTTTCACAAAGTATAGATTAGATTTTGGGTCATCAGGGGCTGGGGACAGAGAAAGGTTTGCAGATTCTTTGGTGAAGAGATACAATTTCAGACTTGTAGAGTTTAGTGGCTGTAGTTAGTATCTATGTGAACTAGATTAGTTTGGCCAAATATGTATAATTCTATCTAATATAGGTATTCTCAATAATAATTAAATCAATACAATAGAGACCAATAAATTAAAGGAGTAAGAAGAATTCCTAGAACTACCAAGGTCTGTAAGATTGCTAATTCAGATGAAAGAATCAAATTCCCACAGAGATATTCATCACAAAAATACGGCTTTGGTTTAAACTATTTAAAAATATGATGGAGATAAAATATAATACAAACTTTATACCTGTAAGCATAAAGAAGACACCTTTTATCCCTGCAACACGAAGACAAGGGGAGGGAAACCTCTCTGAGATCATGGATGATTTACAGTGTTAATCCTAAAATTCACCAGAAAAAAACAGTTCCACCATTTTGGCTGAATTTACGCAAGCTTTTATTAAAAATATTAAATACTGACCAAGATGAAATATGGCCAGAGCCATCACCTGGAAGACTTTCCAGGTGTGTGTATGGAGACACTTGTTGGCGGAGCTTATAAAGGACAAAACTCACAGGCCACCATACTTGCCCATAAGGCTTTGTTGTTAGTTTCTAAGATCTGCCTCTCCTAGAATCCCAGAAGGTTACTTGGTCCATGGGTAGGTGGGGATTATAGGTTAATTTTGGTTCTAAAAACAGTCACTATCACTGAGCCCCACCCTTCCTCTCCCAGGAATCAGAGGGAATATGGGTGAAAGTCCCAATCATCTGTGGGGAGACACAAGGTCTACTAGTTTCAAGTATAGGTGAAGTGACTAGCTTGAAGGTTGAATATGCTTCCCACATGCTCAGCATTACAACAGGGTGAGAACTACCCATGATGCAACAGATCTTCTCCTCAAGGTTCAGCTTTTGTACTGTACCTGATAAACTAAAACATGCAATTTCTTCTTGCCATCCATGCTTGCAGTGATTCCCCAGCCTCTGAAACTGATGCAGTAAATACTTCAGGGAGGGTGCAGAGAGCCCTACTGTCCTCACAAGGGAGATCACAGCAGCACAGAGGGAGGGAAAAGGCTTTCAGGTGTCCTGACTCTCAGATGTTGGCTCCTTCTGCATGCAGTCTTACCTGCAGCATCTCCATGGCTGAGCACTCCAACCGATGCTCCAGATCTGAGATGAGGTCTCTCACTGACTCCCTCTGCTTCTCCAGCTCAGTTTGAGACACTGCCAGGATGTTCATAGTGTCTTCCTTCTCTAGCACCAGCTCCTCCACCTCATTCTTCTCCTTGGAGTCCAGGAATTTCCGCAGTCCTTTAAACTCCTTCTGAACGTTTTCTATATCCCTCTGCATTTGGTTCTTCAGGGATTAAAAAAAAAACGGAGACGAAATTAGACTATCCTAATGGGGCTGGAAGACAGAAAACCACTGTTGTGATGGGGAGTTTTTGCAGGAACTGAGCTTGGGAAGGGAAGGCAGTCTTAGGGAAGCATCTGCCTCATTGCAGTGTCTGTTCATGACATTCCAAAACAAAGATCTTAGGTCACCTTTGTCAATGCCACCTGAGTCAAAGTGGGTACCTGGATGTGACTCAGTTTTCACACAGCTACTTTCAATACTCCTCATTCTGCCTCTGAATCCCTGAGAGAAGCTAACCCCAAGAATAGAGCTGTGACTGTTCCCAAGCTTTTTCCCAATGGTCAGAGTTCCAGAAAGCACCACAGGAGGAGCCCCAGGACTCAGTGCCATTCTCACCAGGCCCCTGCCTTGGGTTCAGCTCCTCACACAGCCAGGCTCAGCTGTGACGCCCTCTCTGTGCAGCCCCAGCTCCAAGGGAACAGGCAGAGAGGACTAATCAAGGTCTCTTGTCCCCATCAGCCTCCAGGGAATGAAGAGCCAGGGAGCTTCTTGTCCAGGTCCCTCCCAGGCATCAGGCTAACTCCCTTAGGAGGTAGGGTCCCCACTTGCCTCCCAGGAAGTTCTCTCCTTTTGAAGGTCATCTTCCCACTGGTCACATCTTTTCTCATTAGCCATCTGCATCTCCAGGGCAGCCTGGAGCATCCCCTGTGGGAGAGGAATTGTAGCAGAGTCAAGCTGTGTGCTGAGTAGGACAGCTGCTCCTAGTCAAAGGCCAAGAGATGCTTCTGGAAAGACAGAAGGTCTAATATTGTTCTCTTTTTAATATCTTGTGCCATTATTTATGCAATAAAGTATATAAATTAAGTGCATTTATACACACAAATTTATACACACACAAGTCCCATACAGAGATACAGAAATCATCCCACCAAATCTAAACCTTTATTTTGTTTCTGGCATTAGAGAACTGGGATAATTGTATTGGTTTCCTGATCTTTCACAGAAACATAAACAAACATCACATGAATTTCTTTTTTTTTAGAAATTGGTTTCTCCTCTGTAGCCTGGCTGGGCTGGATTTCCTGTGTAGACCGGTATACCCTCAAATTCAGAGAGCCCCCTGCCTCAGCCCCCAGAGTTTTGGGACCTGTCATGCCCCTCCACACTGTCCACATACACATCCTTCTGACTTTTATTTCCTGTAGAGCCCACATCTGCCCCTGCTCCTTGGGAGCATCTTGAGGACAGTTTCTGGTCAGCCAGCTAAAATATTCTGTTTGTTCCTGTGCTCCCTCTGCCCTGCCTGGTGATTAGCTGTAGGGCATTGTTTCATCTTTGGTATGATAATTTCCCACCTGCCTGGGGGGAAATCCTTGGGCAGCAGCAAGGTATTTAAGGATTTCCCCAAAGTTGAATAAATGGCATTTGACTGATCTCCTTTGGAATGCCCCAGGTCTCTTGTGTGTTCTCTCAATCTCCAGGCCCTTGCCCGGTTTGCATATTGTACAGTGGCATGTGAACCGAGGGGGTAACACAGAATCGGGTGTTAAAATTTCCTTTTCTATTTTGTTTGTAATTTCATGTGCATTGGTGTTTGCCTGTATATCTGTGTGAAGGTGGAGGATCCTCTGGATCTGTTACAAACAGACATGAGGTGCTCTGTGCATGTTGGGAATTGAACTCAGGTCCTCTGAAAATACAGCCAGCGCCCTTAATTACTGAGTTGTCTCTCCGGGTCTCCGTTTCTTTTCTTTTAAATTGTTTTTTATTTTTGCAGTTAAGATTATCTTCTCTCACTGAAAATAGACGTTTTTTCATACAACATATTATGATTACAGATTCCCCTGCCCCTTCTCCTCCCACTTCCTCTCCATTTTCTCTTCCATTCAGATCCACACCATTTCTGTCTCTTGTTACAAAACAAACAGGCATCTTAGAAATAATATCAGAATAAAAAAATACAATGAGAGAAATTAAAAAACAAGTACACTGGAATGCGGCAAAAAAACAAAACAAAACAGAAAAAGAGTGAAATAAACAGCACAAGAAATGCATATAGACGCAGAGACACACAGGTTTCCAACAGACGGGAATCCCATAAAAACGCCAAGTCTTAATATAAATGCAAACTGCGAGTAAAGTAGGAAAAAAAAGCCCTGACTTAACATTATGAGAGAAAGAACCTCCAAATATGGATTCCAGTTATTCTGTGTTGGTCATCTATCTACTGCTGGGCACAGGACCTATACTTACAAGTAAGTAGTTTGTTTCCCCAGTGAGACTTCCTTGGAGAAAAGTAACTTTTCATTTACAAGTAGCTATCAGCTGGAGATTGCTTCTGGGTTAGGGGTGGGTCATGGGCCCACTTCTCCCAGCTCTAGAATCCTATATGGTGCAGACCCTAGCAGGCTCTGTGCATGCTGCAACAGTCTCCATGAGTTTACATGTGCACTCACAAACAACCAACAGAAAGCAAAGTCCCCACACAGAACCTGCCTCTGTGCATCTCACTATGGAATTCTTTCCTCTTTTCCCAGATGTTTCAACTGCCACATGCACATTCTCTTGACTGTTGCACGTCATTCATTTACTAGTCCCAGGGTTGGAAGTCATGGGACTGGTTTTTAGATAGTGTGAATGAATCTGACATAAACAATGTAAGAAGATAATTATGGAATAAATTAGTAGCTGTTCTGTTCTTGGATTTTTTTTCCCTTCATCAACTCAACTTTTCAGGGACAGTTCCAAATCATATTTTTCCATCTTAATATTTGTACTCCATGTTGATTCTTATACAATTAAGAGGAATAAACCATCATGTCCTTTTAGGACTCTAAAGATAGGAAAAGATGGAATGATGTAACAAACCCAGAGTCTATGATGTCCAGGTAATTGACCTGTCACACCAAGTGAATCCTTTCCCATCTGTTACTGTCTGCTGCTCTGTGTCCCACACCCTCCCACTTCTTACCTTGTACTTATTGGCCACCTCTTCAATGAGAGCTGTTTGGTGACCACGGTGCTCCTGAGATCTCTCACAAAGCCAGCAGATGGCCACCATGTCCTTCTCACAGAAGAGCTGGAGTTTCTCTCCATGTTGTGCACAGACATCCACCTTCTGCTCCTCCTCTGAGCTGGTCTTGAACCCCTTGAGCCTCTCCACTATGTTGGCCATGTGCCAATTAGGCCTCAGATTCCCAAACACATAACTAACTTGGCACATAGGGCAGATGCCTTCTCCTTCTTTGATTTTGCTGGACTCATAGTTCAGTGTGATGCAGGCTCTGCAGAAGCTGTGACCACAATCTGCACTCACAGGCTCCACCATGAGGTCCAGACAGATAGGACAGGTCACCTCCTCCTTGATCATCCCCAGGACTGATGAGGTCATTGTTGCTGTGATGCTGAGTCTGTCTGTCTGTACTCCTGACACTTCTGCTTGGGTACCTGAGTGACTGGGATGATGAGAAGGGGACAAGTGAGAAAGGGAAACTCAACACTGAACCGTGAAGAGATCAATGAATGTCCTGGATGATAAGAGAAAAGAACAAAGGAAAGAAATATAGAGAGAAGTTCAGTGGCATGGCAAAGGAATATGTTGTCATTCTTTCCAGTCCTATGCTATATTTCATCCAAAACGACAAATTTCAGAAATAGTATTGTTATTTCCTTTCACTGAAGAGCAGGAAAAATGTATTTCCTTCCAACGACTTTGTATAACCTACATTCTGTCCTTCCCTTTCTTTCTCAGGACAAAATCACATCTTCAGTGTTACAAGTATCAAACTACTCACTTCTCCCCTGCTGTACTTCCTCCTTCATCAGCACCAGTCAGTGCGTTCCTCTGATCCTCTCCTTACCAGTCTCTTACCAGAGAGCCTGGTGCTGACCTGGAGTGTACACAGTCCATCTCCTGATGCACATAAGCAACGATTTTTCTTATTGCCATTTAATAGATGATGTGTGTGTTTGCACACATAGTGAAGCTAAGCTCTGCACTTTATGTATTCAGGTTGCCGTTATGAGGCTCAGTTTGTCTTCAATACACTGAAAGGGGATGAAAACCATCCCTTTGGAGTCGTTCAGAGGTCCCTGTTGTACACCATAGAACTACACAAAGAAAAGTGATGATAGCCAGGACAGTACCGATAGCCAGAAAATCAGGTGTGTGGAATTATGTCCCCAAGCACTATCATTTCTGAAGAATCTTCTGTCTATTAATGCTGAGATTTTGACCCTAAAAATTTGCAAGGACATTGATGGGAAACTCCAGGTATGTATTGCAGTAAAATGCTAGCAAACTGAGCTTAAGAGCACATAAAAATTATACTTCAAGTCAACAGATCTCCCCCCCCACACACACAATATGTATTATTAGTTCAGCAGACAAAGCCAATGGATAACCCACCCCTCATCAGCAAATGAACGATAAGGAACTCTTCCCATCCTGTGCATGAAAGTATTTGATAACACACACCATTGTTTCAGGAATAAAAATCCTAAAAATGTTTGGGTATAGACATAAATTTCCTTAAAGTCATACATGAAAAGCTCCCTGCTAATCTCATAGAAGTCTAGGGCAATGGAACGACTTTTCTTTAAAGTCATGCATAAAACAACAATGCTTATTGCTGCCACGTCTCTTCAAAACAGCTGGGCATGTACCACCAATTCAAAAAGACTGAAACAAGCAAACAAACAAATAGGTAAGTCCTAAAAGGCATATAAAAGAAATTGCTTTACAGGTAAAATTCATATCAATAAAGAAGCAAGATGCAATATCCAGTATAGAAAAGTCACAAATAGTGAGGAGCCAAAAAGGAGATTAAGAAGCTGGGCCTGGTGATACAGGCCTCTCAACCCAGCTTTTTGTGAGGCTGATGACAGGGAATGGCAAGTTCAAGGTACTTGTGGCTTTATAGGAAAACAGTGTTACATTTGAAACATAAGGAATGGGATGGAGGAGGGCTAAGTGGATAGAAGCACTCCCTGACTCCATTCCCACACTGCATATGGCTGCTCACAAGAGCTTGAAACTTCAGTTCCATTGGATTTGACACCCTCATCTGTCCTTTGAGGGCACTGCATCCTTATGGTGCAGAGATACACATGCTGGCAGTCACGCTTGCCCACAAAATAAAAATAAAAGCCAATAAATTTAATAAAGGAAAGAATAAGAACAGTTATATTCATGAGAGTATCAAATTTAAAAAAATGAATGAATGATTAGGAAAATTAATTATTGCAAGATGTAATATCTGCGCATGAAAATTATAAGAATATTGAAAGAATCAAAGTTGTTACAATCACGTGTTGTAATATTAAGTTGGGAGTGTCACCCCAGCCCCTGGCCTGGGAGTTGCATTGGTCTGGACTCCCACTTCCAGCCTGCCAAGCAGTGACCCCTCCCTGGGGAGGGTCAGGACTGCTCTTGCAGGGCATTTAGGCAGCCACCTGGAGAAGGACTCATGGTTTGGGTTTTGCATGTGCTCTCCCTCTGTTCCCTGTCCACCCCCAAGCCTTCGCCATGCTCCCAGCCAACCGAGAGTGCTACATTTATTAAATGTGGGCATTTTTAATTCAGTCTAATCTGGTTTGATTTGAATTCTTTGTGCCAGTGGAGAGGCTCGTCCTAAGATTTTTCCTAACACATGTAAGAACACATTTATTCATGGATTTGAATACTGTTAAAATGTCAGTACGAAGGGCTAGTCAGACATGAAACGTCAGGTTTAAAGAGTGATTTATACACCGCTGGCATATTCTGGGATGAATCCCAGTATGGAAGGGAGAAATGTCATGATTTCACAAGATTTCTACAGAATCGACAGTGTCTGTCCAAAGCACAAGTATTCCCGAAGCTTTGCAAATCGGGCTCCCCATACGTTGTACACTTGTGGGTTGTCTATGAATCTGTCAGCTGTGCATTCGCTGTGTG